TATCTTATTATATTTTATTTTATCATATTTTAAATGAATGAATGAATGCATAACCTTAGCCACTATGGTAAATGTTAACAACTGAACTGACATTAAATCTGCTGAGAGATGGAAAATCAGTTTTATCCAATGGAGTGACACTGGGCTTGTCAACCACTTCAGGGAAGGCTTTATGTTCAGGAGTCGTTGATCAACACATAATGAACTCCAAAGATTTTTGTGTGCTTTTGTTTCTTTACAGTTTTGTTTGGGATTTTGTTGTTGTTGTTGTTGTTGTTGTTGTTGTTGTTTTCCTCTTTTCAGGGGTGTTTTATTTTGCTTTCTTGATTTGGCAGTTGTGTTGTTATATTGTGTTTTTGTTTGAGAAAGAATTTAAAATTGGGTGGGTAGGGAGGGAGGGAAGATCTGTCAGGACTTGGGAGAGGGGAAGAATATGATCATACTACATTTAAATTTAAAATTGTTTTAAGTAATAAAAATATAATAAAAGAAAAAACCTTTAAGAGGCTAACTCTGAGCAATAATGGCTAGAATAGACTAAAGATAAATAAATGATAACTGTCTTATGCTGTCTGCGTTTATTCCTGATAGGTTTTCGCAGTTTAATACTTACCAAGAGAGTGTGTTGAGCTATGTAAAATCTGCTTGCTCTGTCCCCTGTGACACACAGAATCCTCTTAACTGACATCTGCTCCTAGTGGTGGCTGACTGACTCTTCCTGCTGAGCACAAAGTCACACTCATGGAGAGCCACCATCAGTTCTTGGAACTAGAAGACACTTTGAGAGATATTAACCTTTGGGGACCATTTCAAGGGCGCTACAACTGCAGCACACTCCCACGGATTCCCTGTATGCATGCCTTATTCGCACAAGGATAGCTGCATCCCAGCTCCTTGCTCTCTCTGGTTTGGGAGCGCTGGCATTTGGTGACTTTCTGATTGATTATATGAATGTTAGGACTACTGTAAGAGCATATGCTAAAACGTGGCCATTGTGTGAGATGCTGAGTTTAGATGTACAAGTGTCATCATTATAGTAGGCTGAGTACCCCTGTCCTCGCTGGACAGGAAGGTTGTCACCAACATTGCAGATGTAAAAGGGTTCAAAGTGGTCACTGCAAGTGAAGGTCAGTCAACTATCCTATTATCCCTGGGGACTCCTTCAAGCTTTCATGTGACATTGTAAAATGCAAACTCATTCTCTGCCCCTAGAACTTTGTAAAATCCAGTTCTTACCTGGCTTAGTTAGGGTTTCTATTCCTGTGAAGAGACACCAGGACCATGGCAACTCATATATATAAACCTTTTAATTGAGGGGGCTTTTACAGTTTCAGAGGTTCAGCCTGTTATCATCATGACAGGGAGCATAGCAGCATACAGACTGATGTGGTGCCGGACTTGAGAGTCCTACATATTGCAAGCAACAGAAAGTCAACTGACTGTCACATTGATTGAAGCTTGAGAAAAGAGACCTCAAAACCTGTCCCCACATTGATACACTTTCTCCTATAAGGCCACACCTCGTAGTAGTGCCACTCCCTTGGGGGGCCATTTTCTTTCAAACTGAAGGAATAACTGTGCTGCTGTAATTATAATGCCATACGACACTATACAAATTCAGATTTCTAATCACAGTCATTTTAACTTCTCTATTAATCTACAAGGCACTTTAGGTCAAGAATGAAGTTATTCTTCATTCTTAAAATTCTATAAACGATGCTACACAATCATTTATTTTTAGAAGTAATTTAATTTGTTTGCCTGTGCGTCTGTCTGTCTCCCCCCTCTCGTGTGTGTGTGTGTGTATGTGTGTGCACACACGAGTGCACACCTGTGTGTGTGCACTGTTTGTGTTCTATATGGCAGACATATGGAGGTGAGAAGACAGTTTGTAAGGATCCTCTTCTGCTTCCACCATCTGTGTTTGTATTCACATTAAAAATATTATTTCTTTCTCTTTTTCTGGAGCGGCATAATTTTTATTGACAGGTAAATCAAAACAGGGATTCCAACCGTATCAAAATGGATTTTTTTTATATTTTCATTTCATTCATTTTACATACCAACTACAGTTCCCCCTTCCTACCTTCCTCCCCTTCTACCCTATCCCCAACCTGCCTAGCACATTCAGTTGAGGCAGGACCAACCCCGCCCCCATCAAGGCTGAGCAAGGAATCCCACCATATGGAATGGGCTTCAAAAGGCCAGCTCATGCACTAGGGATAGATCCTGGTCTCATTGTCAGGGGTCCCACAAACAGATCAGACTACAAAACTGTAGCCCAGATGTGGAGTGCCTGGTTAGGTCCCATGCAAAATCCCCACCTGTTGTCGGTCTAGAGTGCGTGAGATCCCAAAGTCCAGGTCAACTGTCTTTGTGGGTTTCCAGTCAGGATTTTGATACACCCCCCTCCCCTGCCTCACTCTTTCAAGGCTGTAAAAAAATGAATATATAAAGACATTGAAAAGAACTGAAGAAAGGGCAGACCACACACACACAACACACACACACACACACACACACACACACACACACATGCACACACCAGCTGTATTGCCAAAAATTTTAGAAAACAAATAGAAAAAGAAATTCCTGCAAGTCTTCCAAGAATATGCAGCCAGTGACACTCTGAACTAGCATCATCGTCCTCTGATGGACTTGTGCTCTGCCTTAGGAACAGGGTTTATCAAGCCCTCGCTGAACTTTATGTACATATTCAATGCGGGAGGGGATGGCATGATTTCAAGGATTCAAAATGAATGCACTCATAATATTAAAAAAGATAGTCTGTGTTCTTTGATGTACCATGTGAGAAACACACACCACCACCTACAAAGTGCCCATTGATAAAGTCAGGCCTGACCTTGATCTACTATTGTAGTATAATGAGTCAAATCTGGATATGCATAATAAAGTAAGAAAAAATTAAATATGAGAAATTGTTAATAATTAAATAGCTCGAGAAGACATAATGGTCAAATATAATGTAAATTATCATCTCAACGAATCTACTGTAATGAAACATTTCTAGATAATTAGAGAAATGCAGATATGAAATCTATATTAAATATTATTAAGAACTGTGGTGATGGAGACAAGCTAAAAGCAAGCAGACAAGTCGGTAGACTAATTCTTGCAGTTAGGCAGGTTGTGCTGGCCCCCACACTTTGTCGCTGGGCCAGTTAATTCCTTGTGTCAGGTTTGTTTCACTGTGGCAGGGCAATGCAATGACATCCTTAGTGCCCACATACTAGATACAGTAGTTCATACCCACCTCACCAAGACCAGCGTCGTGAGCGCACAAGAAACAATCTTTAGAAGCTGTACTCTTCCTGCTAACTTAAGATTGTGTGAAAGTACAAAATTCCATTTTTATAATCACATCTCTTTATCTCTCCATGGAAATCCCTGTTAAAAAGCAGAGGGAAAGGATTAGACTTAGTGGCTTGCCATCCAGACTCCAGAGAAGAAGAAGTCTGAAGTAAATGCTGCAGGGTGACTCCAGAGGACCAGGGGCCTCCTGGGATGTGCAGGGGAGGGAAAAAAACCTTAGAAAGTTGGAGGTATTTTAACTATTTCAAAGGATAACTGAAAAGTCCACTCTGAGCCATAGAGTCAGTCACTGAATTGAGCTAATGGAAGAGACAGGGTTGTGAAATTGGTTGAAACAGCCTGAATTGCTACTACAATGGTTACGATGATTTTGGAAGGGAAAACTCACAGGACTGAGAGAAGCAGGGTAGAGTCACCAGTGACACTAGTGGCCACGAGCTGCACACAGGGAATGGTAGAGCACACCTGAGTTCTTGTGACCCAATACACCTCAGCAACGCTGAGTACCAGTAGAAGTGCTCAGAGGTCAGTTTCCATGCTCCTGTCAAAGGAGAGTATGTTTTAGATGAGGTAAGACTTCACAGGAGAGAAATGGAGAGCCCTAACACGCCCATCCGATTAGCTTTTATTGGGTGCTGGCTACGCAGGTGCTGTGCCAAAGCTGACTTTGTGCATGAACGCATCATTTAGATCGTCGCATTCAAAAGAAGTGATATGCACGGCCAGCTCCAAATGGGGGCAGCAGAATGACCAACACAGAAGGGTGTAGTGCTCCTGTTTGCCAGAGGAGAAAATTGACATTGGGGACATGGAGGGGATCTGCTGGAGAGAGAAAGAGTGTGAGAGAGAGAGAAAGAGAGAGAGAGAGAGAGAGAGAGAGAGAGAGAGGAAAAAGAAGGAGAAGTAGAAGGTGAGGCAGGGAGGGGGAGAAGGGATAGAGGAGAAAAGAGAGAGGAGAGAGTTGTTAAGAAATTGGTTGATATTGTAATGGATCCTGGAAAATTACAATCTGCCCAGGGGGCTGGGAGATGGAAGAGAAGGGATAAGTCAATGCTGCCAGTGATCTGGAGAGAGAGAGAGACAAGCCCCTGTTCCTCTGTGGTAAGGTTTTCAACAAATCTCATGATGTTCACCCACACTGTGGGGCAAAATATAATCTAGTCGGTCTATTTATTTAGATGTTAATCTCATCTTAAGGACACTGCCAGGCTTTTTTTTTTTTTCCCCACCAAATATTTGGCCACGGTGGCCAAGGCACATGGATACCTAATGTTACACATCCCAGGGCAGGATGTTTGTGAGGAAGTCGGGTCCATGATTTGTCTCAGACCAAGACGCCTGTTAACAGTCCGTTAGAATGAGGCTAGCGGGCTGGGGCTAGTGAATGGGGGTGTATACACTGCCTTCCCCTCTGAGACAGCGAGACCACTTCATCCCACAGTCTTGTTGCTGTCAGGCCGCATCCCCATCCGCGTTGCCATTGCTACAAGCTGATCAGAAAGCCGGGGAGCTGAGCCGTCTGCCTGCCTCGCTACTCAGACAGCAGCGGGTCCACCTGAAACTACTTTGCATTTCAAGCGGCCTAGAGAAAAGGGCAAGCTCTTTAAATTTATCAGCATATCATTCATTTACCAGTTCTTTAAAGTTATTCATATTTTCTTTTTCAGGTCGAAATAAGTAATGACATTGATTCTGAAAAGCGGCTCCTGGACTTGAGTTAGGGAACAAAGAACCACTGGCCTCTGGCACTGGGGATCCTAGAGCGTCACCTTCCTCCCAGACAGCAGGACTGCAACCCCTGCGGGCCAGCGACTGCAGAGCTGCTAGGTCTTTGGTCTTAGCCTGTGTAACTTTAGCGTTGTTTGCTAGATGCGTTCTGGGTGCTTGGGTGGGTATTTTTTTAGTCATCTCCTCCTCATATGAGCACTTGTAAACTGTAAACAGAAAAAAAGAAGAAAAAGAAAAAAGGAAGAAAGAAAAAAATGGTTTTTAATTTTTTTTACAATATTTAACTTGAGGCATGCAAAATGAAAACAAAAATCTGTGAAAATATTCTCAAAGTTATTTCTAAGGAGACTGTTGCTGAGGTGGGTGTGACGTCCGTGCTGCTGAACCCTGCTAAGCGAACGGGTTTGTGTGAACAGACATTGGCTGTGGGCACCAGACCTAAGGGTGGACCTGCCTTAGCTTGCAAAGAACTGGATCCAACTTTCACAGTAAACACAGATCACTGTTTAAACAGCACCAGACACAGACAAAACATCGAGTCCCTTGTTCTCAACTTCTGAAGACTCCACAATATTACGGCAACCTAAATTTCCAGATTCAAACATATCTTGTTCTTGCAATATTCTGAGACACAAATTTATGTATGTGTTCTAATATTGTGTGTACAAAAGGAGAGAATCAATTAGTGGGGGTCATTCTCCTGTGGAGGGAGCTTAGCTGGCCCTCTTCTTCATAGTTTCTGCTCTTTGTTTCACTCCCAACACTGATGTCAGACCTAAGCATACAGCTCAGAGGCTGCGGGCTAGAAACCACAACCACAGATCTGTAGTCTGGAACTTTTAGGATATTCAGAGAGAACATTCAAATCCTATGGTATTCTCTGTAGAGACCTGTAAAGAAAATATGTATGTTTGAGTTACATCAATTTTTCATTTTCCCATCCATCCCAGTCACCAAGAAAATTACATTGGAAACCTAATTTTCTAAGAAGAAAATGGTTCATCTTGAAAAAAAATAAAACAATTGTGGGACTTTTTTTAAATTGAGACGAAATGCACGCGTGGTGAAATGCGTAGATTTTAAGGGTACAATGTGAGAAATTTTGAGAAATGTACAAACTGAATAATCAGTGCTTCAACCAAAATATAGAACATGTCTGAGACTTGAGAAAACACTTCCTTGGGCCCCTTTCCATTGTCTACACTCAGTACATATCCCTTTATGAACTGCACTGTGTCTGAGTTTGTCTGCTGATTTCAATGCTAATCTCATCTGGTTTTCACCAAATATCTGGACAAAGTGACATGGCCAAAGGATACATAAAACCCGAGTCAGTTCTCATGACTGAGGTTTAACTGCATCACTGATCAACTTTCTGCTCGTGATGTAAGGCAGGCCCTTGTCTTGTGTCAATGTTTTTCTGTCTCTCCCTTAGTTCCCATGTGAAAACCCAATTGGCTCCTTTGGTATACACATGAAAAGGAAGTTTTCCCACAAGTGAGGTTCTGTCTGTTCACTATTTGCTCCAGGGATGAACCAATGTGGCTCACATATCTCTAAGACTCCCATAAAGCACTGAACTGAAGCAAATGTTTGTGTTTCTTGAAGCCTCTCTGTTTCCCCTTCTTCCTCTTATGCACAAAAATTCTGTGTGTCTGTTACTGATCAGAATTTCATGCAATCACCTTTGCCCTAATGCCTCTAAGTTCATGTCCCCTGGGTTGTGCCCTTTCAGTCAACTGTCGCCAAGACTTGCTAAGTTTTATCCTACAGACTAAATCTTGATTCTAAATGAAAAGCTCTTGGAACCTGAAAGATGGTGCCTTCAAGTACCAATTCCACAACGGAGGGAGCCGGAGCCCAGGACTGTGGCAGAGAGTGGAAAAACAACACCGAGCCCAAGTCTTGTCTCTGTGCCACCTTGGCACCAAGCCTTGTCAGTCACAGACCAAAGAAGGCTGTGCCTCCTTTTGAGTGAATGATATCTTTCCTTGGGGTCTCCTGCTGCATTATGTGGCAGCATAGAAAGTTGGGATGCCTCCACCTTCCAAACATGTTCCAAAGTCAGCAAAATTTAGGCAGGAGATTGATGAAAGGATTAGAGGTCTCTCAGACACAACATGTCTGTGCATAGAGCAGTCCTGTCAGGGAAAAATTGAGAAAATGTGCTCCTCGAGCATCTTAGCCTCCTTCCACCTGCTGGATGAAGGAGGAAGATGTATCTCCAAAGCAAAAAAACTTGTCTCCACACTTCTCCAAACCTTGAACATGGCTGTTTAGAAGACCACTTGGCACCTTGCTCAAGCAAAATATTAACTCATTTTCTTATTCTTTAAGGGAAAAAAAAAAGCCAAGCCTTGCTGTTCCTATAGATCTAAATAAGAGAAGGGGTTACCTTTGAGTAGCTGAACCTGACAAGAGATGGCAAGGCACTGCTGCCGGCCTCATCCAACAAACAGCGCACTCCTGACAAGAGAAATTTGTCTCTATTAGACTCAAATAAAATACATGTTGTGAAGACAAGGGAAACCATCATGACTGCTAAACTGAGTAACAAATAAGAACAAAATTGCACTTTTCATCTCTAAAAATTAGAATCTTGCCGAGATTAAACGACCTTCATTTTGTACTTAATTTTAAAAATGACATTCCCAAGATGGTATCCCTAGGCAAAACATCCTGGGTCGGAAGTTTTTAAAACAAATATTTACCACTTGTGAGTCACTTTAACAAGGAAATTGGAGAAACTTTTCAGTTGATTAGAATTGAGTGTTCTGACTTGACATTTTAGATCAAAACAGTGTCTGCTTCCTTTCCAGGGGTGGTTGAATAAAGTAGGAAAAAACACAAATGACTGATGTGTTATGGACTGGCCACAGGCAGCTCAGCTACAGCCAAGTCAAGACAGGCATGTATATGTTAATGAACTAACTCAAGGGCGGCCTTAATATGGTAGTGAACCAGCCCTAAACTGAGCAAAACTACTGCCCAATGATGATACAAAACATGCGGCTTTGGAGATGACCACTAGGTGGCGCTGCTCTGACCTGAGAGCTGGCTTCGCTAGCCTGGGCACCCATCAGCAGGATGGACAACTCTGGCTTCGGATATGACTCTGACTTCAGTGACTGTTGAATTTCTGGCACCATTGTTGAGCTCACACATACCCACCTGTCTTAAAGATGTAGAAACTTTAAATTTTGGAACTTAGAAAATATGTGGGAACTGGGATAGGTATGTATTAAAAAAAAGTTTGTTTAAAAAAATAATAAATTAAAAAAATATTCCCTCAATATACAAAAGGCCTGTAACATTTCCGAGTTAAGGTGTCTTTTAAAGTGTCTGGAAGTTGAGTTTAAATATTTGTTATAAATAAGACAACAAATTAAGACCAAAAGCAAAACCAATGGCAAAAATTACTCCTTCTGTGAATAAGTAGTGTGGCATTCAGAAAGGGAGTGATTACGTTTAAAACATTAAGAGAATGTACTGATTGATTTTTTTTTAAAAAAAAAAAAGGCTGGGGAAAACTCTCAAAAGTGGAAAGCTAGAAAAGAAAATCATGCCTTTGTGAGCAGCATCTCTTTCCTTCCTGAAGAGTTCAGAGAAACTGCCTGAAAAGTGCAGAAATCTCCTTAAAAACTCGGATGGGGGGGAATGGGGCCACAGAGAATTAATCATTTTCTTTGAACTTGAATTCATATAAAGGGCAGGAATCCTATTAAATATTTAAAAAAATGATGTATTCAAAGAGTCCAAAATATGCTTTGGCTTGAACTTGAGAGATAAGTTCAAAGAATAAAAGAAAAGGGGGAAGAAAAAGAACAAAAAGAAAGAGCAGGGTGAGAACTAGGATGAAAGAATCGGAATGGAAAGATGCCTCTCCTGGGTATGGACCATGCCAGCCTTTACCTCCCGTTTGCTCTCTTGGTCAAATGATTTGTTTCACTGAGTAAAAACAAATGAGTTATTTTTCTACCAGGAGCACACTTTCCCCTTCCTCTTCAGAGGTGAAGAACTGGTCTGAAGAAAGTGATAGTCTAGGTGGTTTTCCTCACAGAATTTGCTTTTATAGAGAACCATGTTGAACCATAAATGTCCATTACCATCAACACCACTAACAACAAAAGACGACGGCTTAGCTAACACCCTTGCCTGTTCCTCCTCACATTCTAAACTTCCGGACATAGCCAGCAGAGAGTAGCTTGTGAGCTTCCTAGAGATCTTGATCTCTCCTTGTTCATCCTTTGTGGCTACCGTTCTTAAATCATAACAACATTCAAAATGGCTGTGGAAGCTTATGCCTTTGCTTTCTAAATTCTAGCCAACGAGGGGGTAAAATCATACAGAATGATGTTTCTTTCCCTTAAGAACAAGTCTCAGAAGCTGACTGTATAGGTTTTCTACTTACATCATTTGTCAAAGTTTGTTCTACCCCAAACGTTGTTGCAAAGAAAGCTGGGCAGAATATATAGAGCCTATATTCTGGATGCATTGTAACCATCTAAAACTAAGAATAGTAAACACAGAGAAGAATATTGAGCAGTCTCTACCACACACTTCAAGAGCACAATCTTGTTGAAATGTAGGTCTCAATTTCCTTTTTCCTTTTTTTTTTTTGGTTGGGGGGGGGGGTCAAGACAGGGTTCCTCTGTAGCTTTGGATCCTGTCCTGGAACTAACTTTTGTAGACCAGGTTGGCCTCAAACTCATAGAGATCTGCCTACCTCTGCCTCCCGAGTGCTGGGATTAAAGGTGTGGCACCACCATTGCCCGGCTAAATGGAGGGCTCAATTTCTTAATTATTGTAGATTATAAAAACTAGGAATATACTTTCCAGCATTGTGAAAAATGTCCTCATCAGCTCCATGTCATAAAAATTTCTACTTCTTGCTTTTTTATCTAGTCTATATAGTCAGAAAGCAAACCTAATGTTGTAAAATCTGAGAGTAGTGAGGAGAAAAAAAAACAAATGCATGAATAAAGCAAGCTTTACTTGGAGTACACCCAGGACTGACAAAGCTAGCTGTCTTACCCTGAATCAAGAGTAAGCCCCTGCTGGCCTCTTAAGACCCCTTTCAAGAGAGTCAGCTGTTGCACATCGCTAGAAACGCACAGTGAAGGGGAGGGAACAAGGATAACGATGTACATCATGTAAATGGGGTTGCAAGCCTAGGATGAAAACCATGCTTGGCGGTTTACATCAGGTCTAAGAAACAGGAACTTATTCTTAATTACAAATAGAAACTTTTACTTGCAAGAACTTAACACAGGAACTTACTCTTCAACTACGAACAAGTTTTTAACCTGCATAGGACAAACAGGAACTTATTCTTAACTGTCTTAACAACAAACAGAACCTTAACCTGCAAGGGATATTTTTCTGTGATTTCTCTTCGGTGATTTCAGTCACTGAAGAGCGCCAGTTAGAGTCTCTCTGAGCATAAAATGTCTCCAAATCCCACCACCGCAACAGATGATTTAAAGATGACTAGGTGAACTGGGCATGAGTGTCAGATAGCTGGAGTTCGGTACTCAGAAGCCTCAGGTAGAAGGTTTGCTTGACCCTAGAAATTTAAGGCCAGCAAGATACCATTCATTCATTCATTCATTCATTCATTTAAATGTAAGCAAGAGGGGCTGGAGAGATGGATCAGTGGTTAAGTGTGTACTGCTTGTCTGCTGCTCTTGCAAAGGACCCCAAGTTAAGTTCCCAGCATCCACCTTGGTCAGCTCGCAACTGCCTATAATTCCAGCTCCAGAGCATCCGATTTCCTTTCTTGGCCTTCCGTGCAATCAGGTACACATCCCCACAAAAGTGTGTCCTTTCTCTGCCAGCTAAACTCAGCACTGAAAAGACCTGTGCTGTCTCCTTGTGTCCTGCCGAGGAGGGCACTGAGGCTCCTCAGAGCAGCGGCGTCACCTTGTGCCCATTCGATCTGTGAATCAGTCTAGCCTGTTTCTTCTGCATACAGGCCATGGCTCTCTTCTGCAGAGTCCCTACTGACCAAGCCTCTTCAGTCAGCTGTTCTGTGGTGATGTTTGGTGCGGGTATGCATGACCCTGCATGTTCATGTTGCAGCCTACCTACTGTTGGTGACCCATCTCTGTTTTTCTTTTAGCAGAGTGACTAGCAAGAGGACATTGTGTTCTCTTGGGTTTTTGGTTTTTTCTTGATTTCAGGTTTGTCTTCTCAGGGAAAATTGGAAATCCCAGACCACCTGTCACTGTTTTTTACTTTCCACAGGATAGAGCAGCTTGGTCTCACTGTACCTGCTTTCTTCACTAGTAGCTTAAGCACAGTTGTGTGGGCTCTAAATACCCTGCACACTGTGTTTTACCAGCCAGCACGTAGATAGATTACTTGCAACAGTTGGAGGACAGGTCCTGGGGAAGTGAACGTGCTAAGAAATTGCTTTAAGTCACTTTGGATCTACTTCACATTTTCATCCCT